GTTGGAGGCCTTCTAATAATGGTAACTTTACCATCAAATCTGCTTATAAGGCTATTAATAACCATTGCAACAACAACAGTTCTAAGATATGATTTAAGATCTAGAAATGGCTAACTTAGGAGAAAATTAAATCCTTTCTTTGAAAAGCAACTTGAGATTGTCTCCAACCTAAATTCATGTACTCTAATGGAAGCAATCCTTGTATCAAGATATGCCCCTTTGGGGGTAACTCTTTAGACTCTACCATTCATATATTGAGAGATTGTAAAAAATCTAAAGAGGTTTGGACAAAGTTGGTTAAACAAACTAAACATAACACTTTTTTTTCTCTTCCTTTATAAAATTGGATAATTTGGAATGCAGAGAATGATGCAGGTAATACATGTTATAACGAAAATCTCTTGGCAGAGACTCTATGCCCATGTATGTTGGAACATATGGAAAGAAAGATACAAAAAAATATATTCTGAAGAAGACGTTGAAAATAGAGGCATTGCTTTCATCAGCATCCAAGATATACTCAAGGATCAATATCTTCAATCTAAAATCAACTTCTTATTTCATAAGGGTGATAGAGCAATAGCCAAATGATCCTCCCTTAAAGAAGGATGGATTAGGTTGGATACTGATGGCTCTGTCAACATTCATGGTGCGGCTACTTATGGCGGTCTTATCCAAAACAACCAAGGCAATTAGATTAAAGGTTTCTCCAAATACCTTAGATATTATCCAAGCATAGCAACTGAGCTCATGGGCGTCTTGGAATGATTAAACATTTGCTAGGTTGAAAAGTTTGACAAAGTTAATGTCTACTCTGACTTTACAAAAGCTATCTTGTTAATCCGCAATGAGTTCTCTACTAATCATTCACTTTCCAAAACTATCAACAAAATCAAAGATCTTATCATGCGAGACTGAATAATCACATTTGACCACGTTTTTAGAGAGGTAAATAAATGTGCGGATTGATTATCTTATCAAGCCCCTACCAACAATTTATATGTTCATATTTTCAATATCCCACCATTTGGTTGTTGTAATCTTTTGTATGCTGATAAAACTCAACTTGTCAATTAGCAAGGTTTAACTGTGATCTTTCATCCAAAAAAATATTTATTAATTTTATTGTGATATATAAATTTTAAATTTTTTTAAATTTTATGTCTTTTTATATAAAAATTAAAGTAAAAGAATTGAGGGATACAGGCTCGAAAATGAAAGGCCATGATAACGTGCTACTTCTGCAAAGCAACAAAGATTAGTAATCACTGGCAAAAAAAAAAAACAAATATTAGTTATTAATTTTATGTTTGTGTATATTTTATGGCCGATAAAGGTTCAAATGTTTTTTATATATGTATCTAATATTTAATATTATCTAATTGTATTTAAATACCATTGAGCTCAACCGAATGCACTTCCTTGACATAATTTTTTTGTCATCAATCATTTGACTTCACTACAGTAAATAAAATAAATCGAGTGTATGTTGATGGGTTCTGAGTTCTGACTTCTAATTAACAGTTGCTATTAAAAAAAAAGAAAATGAAATGAATTAAAAAATAAGGACAAAAATAAATGATCAACATGTGAATTGAAGATAGAGGAATAATATTCACGATGAAGAAGGATAATTTAATTTATAAGGTTGAAAATAATAATTCATATAATTTTATGGAGGGTACGATAATTCTCATATTTATGATTCGTGATATTAAATTTTATCATGTTTATCATGAGAAAAAAAGTAAATTTTGTTTGGTTTTGTTCTCATTTTTCATTTTTAAAAACTGTTTTGTAAATTAATTTTTAAAAATCATTTTTCAAGGCAAAGCAAAATGAAAATCTAATTGGTTATATTAATTTAAAAATAATTTTAAAGTTAGAAAAAGACCTAAAGTAGTAGTTAATTGTGGTTAATGATGATGGTCTATGATAATAGTTGGTCATAGCTAAAAGTAATTTACAATGATCAAATGTAACATGCTTTAAAAATAAAAATAAAAAGAAAGTAAAAACAACTGTTTTCATTTTAAAAAAGAAATTGAGGACAGTTTTGAAAACACTTAAATTCAAAACACTTAATTAAATAATTTTTTTATTTTTGAAAATAGAAAACAATTTTCGAAAAAAAAAGAAACAAGTGTTTAGTTATTTTTATTTTAATCTTTTTATTGATCTATCTATTTTCTTTTTGTTTTTTTAATAACCAAGCGGTACCTAAATTAGATGCTCATCATATTTTAAAGTAAACTTATGTATGATGTAAAACACTGGCAAAAAAAAAAAAAAAAATACTAGACATGTGACGAGGTGGACACGTGGCAAAGATGTATTAAAATATGCTGACTCTGCGTGTTAGCTTGGGATAATTTGTTACTGCCCAACGAACATAGTTTGACAACTCAATATGTGTGTTTTCTTTTAAGTTACCACAAGTGATTGGATCCTCGTAATCATTTTTTAAGTTTTGCCAAAAAAAAAATTATAATTAGCAATCTCTCTCTCTCTCTCTCTCTCTCTCTCAATTAAAATAAATCTTCTATTTTTTTTTACCTATTTTATGCTTGGAAGAGTACGAACTTGGAATATTATTTTTACTCTTTCTCATCTAAATTATAAAACATTTTTATAATTAATAATACAAGACACTAAATACTTTTTGAAATTATTTTTTTCAAATATTTGAATTAATTAATATGGACATAAAAAATATAGGATAAATGGCTCATTGGCCAAAAAAATTTTGTGCCCAAAAAATATGGATCAAATTTTTAAAATTTGAAAATGTGGCCAATTCATATTAATATACAAGAGATTTATCATTGATATATAAGAAATTTATCATTGATATACAAGAAATTTATTATTAAAAATTTACAAAGAGTTTATTATTAATATACAATAGTATATCATTAACAAATATAATAAATTAATCATAATATAAAATATAATAAATATTAGGTTGTTTGCTTAGTTTGGTTTTGGGCTATATCTGTAACACTCTCGAAAAATATAACATAACTAAATACTTATTCTCATTCTTCATAATTAAGGGGTTAATGGAAAAGGCAAAGTACATGTCATTTTTTTCGAGTAAATTGGGCCAATGATATTGAAAAATTTATTAACTAGAAATTATAGAAGGAGTTTTTAAAAAATTATGGAATGTGGTCCATTTATAATTAGTTAGGGGGGGCAATTTTTCCTTTTTATCCCCAAAACAAATAAAAAAATATGTGTAATAGAATAGCAAAACTCCTGTAACTGAATGATTATAATCGTGACTCATTTACGATCATATATCACTTCAATATTTGAATACTTTTGAATTTTTTACCATCTGAGCATAATGTATTTGAGATTTGAGAATGAGATTTCAAATTTTAGGAGAATAAGTGTTTTTGTCATTTCAATTTAACTTAAATATTAATTCAGCCAATTGTAAAATATTTAAAATATTAGGTTGTTATCTTTATTTGGTCCTATTAAATGAGTTATATATGCCAAAATTCCTATTATTTTATAAAAGTAAGAAAATAATTATTTTTATTGGTATATAAAATATGATTGAAATTTGGACAGGAAGGGAGTATAATGTTACTCTCATATAGGTCTGACAATAATTATTTGAATATTAAATATCAGATACAAGATATTGCATAACAAAGAAGAATATTATTTTATAATTTTTATTATATATAAAATCTGAATTACAAAAACTGTTGAAAAAATGACAATTAGGTCTAAAAATTAATGACTCCCAATAATTTTCTAAAAACATTATAAATATCTATCCAAATAATTACAAATTCATGAATTTTAATTACAAACAAGATATTTAAATACTAAATATTACTTTTAATTTGCAATTAAATTTATTGTCGATAATTGTCTGAATTAATCTTTACAACTCATTTTGTAAAAAAAAAAAATATAAGGAGGATTTGAGTATCATGAATCTCCCTTTTTGAGACTTTAATGTGATTTTCTCAAAATTATTCACTTGACTTCACAGTCAGTGTTTTCAGAACCGGACCGGACATTGAACCGGAAAAGTCAGCGGTTCACGGTTCGCATGGTTCAACCGGTTGGACCAATGGTCCAACCGGTGACGTAATAATTAAATTAAAAAAAAATTATATATGTATATAATAATTTAAATATAAGAAATACATATAAAATTGCTATTTAACTTAAAAAACTTAAATATTTTAAGTTTATTATGACTTAACAAGCTATATGATACACTATAATATCAAATGATTAAAAAAATTAGTCATTTTTTTAAAAAAATTTGATAAAAAATAAAAAAAAGTTTTTTTTGAACAGTCCGGTTTTTGAAAATCGGATCCGGTTCCCGGTCCGACCGCCGGTTCGAAACGGCTCAACCCGGCTCAACTCTGAAAACGGTTTTTTTCCTTTGAACCAGACCGGAAACCAGACCGGTCGACGGTCCGACCGGTCCGACCGGCCGGTCCGGTTCGGTTTTCAAAACAGTGCTTCACACCTCTTTCTTTGTTTTTTTTTTAAACCTTGAACTGTAATTTTGTAATTTAAGCCTCTTCTATTCTTATAATTTAAACTAGTTATAAATGGCTTGCTCTTTTGTAATCTTAATTCTTAAATTAACCACATTATTTTCTAGTAGCTATATTGAGTTTTTAAAATAAAAATTTTGAACAATTTTTTTTTGTTTCTATTTCCTTTTTAAATATCAAAGGTTTTTTTTTTTTTTAAGAATAGCCATCAAACAATGTCATCGTGAAAACGAAAATCAGGATCTACTTGCAATTGATTAAAACATTAACCGTATGTTTTGGAATTATTGAAAGCCCAGTGGCCTTGGTAGCAATAAGCAATGCAAGTTGAAAACAACCTCCAGTTGCGGGGTTGCCGTCAAAGTGGTCACCATCACAAGAAAGGAAAGAGGACTCGAATGGAAATAAGCTCAAAGCTAAGGGCAGAGACGTGGAACTAACTCTTCTTTGTGGTTTTGCATACAAGGGGGGGAGAGAGGGGGAGAGAACAAGCTTCTTCTCATTGTGCCTTGTTTCATAAACACACACAGCGGCTCTCTTCTCCAAAGCTTCCCTTCGAAACCGTCTCTCTCACCCTCCTCCTTCCTTCATTTCTTCTCTCAATCTCTCTCTCTCTCCCTGTCACCTGAAACTCTCCTTTCTCTCTCTTCGTTTGTTTGCATGGGATACAATTTCGAACAATCGTGACTTGGTTTGGCTTTGTTTGAAGAGTGTGGGGTTCTTTATGGCCACCGCACCGGTGAAGTCTCAGCCTCTCCACAACTTCTCTCTCCCTTTCTTGAAATGGGGCGGCAAGAATCACACTAACAGCAACCATCGGTTTCGCCGTCCAGTCTCCGGTGAGTCCTCGTCGTCACAAGCTTTTGCCGCCGATCACAACTCCGAACCAGAGGCAGAACCCGAAACCCGAGCTGCACGAGTCGGATCGAGGACCGCCAGGAACCGGTTTGGGCTCTCTTCGTGCTATCATGGGGAGAAATCTCAGAAGCAAGAGCAGCAACCACAGCCTCTGGAGAGAGTTAGCTACAATGAAACTGACGATGAGGCTGGAGGTAGAAAGAGGGAGAACGAGGACGCTGAAGAAACCGAAGCTGACGGAACGACACAGAAGCCATGGAATTTGAGACCGAGGAGATCGATTTTCTCCAAAGGAGCGGTTGAGATCGGTGTGGGAGCTCCGAGGAACGGAGAATTGGTCGAACACGGTTCATTTGCTGCCACGGTTCATTCGGCTCAGCAGAATGAGAACCCTCCACAGCCGAAATCGCTTCGCTTGAGGGGTTTCGCGGAGATGCAGAATACGGAAAGAAAGGAGAAGAGGAAATTCTGGATCGCCTTGTCGAGGGAAGAGATTGAAGAGGACATATTCATTATGACTGGGTCAAGGCCCGCTCGGAGGCCAAAGAAAAGGCCAAAGAATGTGCAGAAACAGCTCGATGTATGAGTTTCATCTCCTTCAATTTCTCTTGCATTTCTAATCTTGGTTTTATCATTCATATGTTCAGTTATCTAACTTACTCGATTTCAATTGTTCGGTGGCTTAAGCAAAAAACATTTCTTTCGAAATTTCAGAGTGTTTTTCCTGGGTTATGGCTAGTGGGGTTCACTGCAGACGTTTACAAAGCAGCAGATACTACAGCAAAGGTTCTTTGAATCTCTCCTTTTTGCTCTCTCTCTATAATATTTGTGATTGATGCTGTACTTAATGTAGTTCATCTGAGATATGGGCATCGTTGACCTCTGTTTACTGAATTTCTAATAGCAAAACGTGCCTCCAATCATATTATATTTTCCGGTCTGAGCATTTTGAAGTGTGTTTCCTGGGTTTGGTCATTGGTCCTAGTTTAGACTTTTAGTTCATGATCAGTTAAAGCCATGGTTCTGATTATTTGGTGATGGTTCTTTCTTTCAGAGGTAGAGAAGCTACAGTGAACAACACAAATTTAGTGGCTACGGTCACAGGGACCTGTAATGGAGGTATAAAAAAGCGCAGAATTTTGTAGAGCGCAAATGGTTTGTGAAATGATGGATATGTTGAAAAGAAAAAAGAAATCTGGGAAGATAGTTATTACTATGTATGGTGCAATAGGCTTATAAGATGTAGATGGAAGGTTTATTAGGTTTAGTTATCAACTTATCATCCCTAGTGGTGTTCAACTGCTCAGCTTTTAGACAGTAAGAAAAAACCAGTGGATTCATAGAATGAATTCGATATTCATTATAAGATATTTTGATTGGTGTTTTGCAAGTGAGATCTTCTTTGATTGAATGAACCCTGATTCATCAACTACTCCAAATGTTTGCAGAAAGAGTGTTTGCTTTCTCTTTTGAATTTCCATGACCATAGGCTTCAATGAAGTTGCTCTCTTCAATGTGGCATTGGTATTTGAGCATCATAGACATCAATGACTTTGCATGAAAACAAGAGAATTAATCACATTGGCTGAAATCAACTTTGTAACGGTGTAAAATTCGTCTTCTTATTGCCTATTAATATCTATGTATTATCCTTTTCTGTTTTTCCGAAAAGGAAAAAGGATCTGGTGGTGGGGCACTGGATGAGTTTAGAAAAACTTCGTGCAAAGACATGTTGATAAACTATTGCTTTTTCTATATGTTTTTTCCCCATGAAATATTTTCTCTGGTACTAAATGAAATGTGCTTCTCGGATCTGATGTACGTTTTAAGACATACTGGTATCTACTTGACAACTTGGGAATTACTTCAGTTATGCAAGTGAATTTTGATGTCAATGTGGAAGTTTATTTGCAAAGTTTCTTTGGTTTGTCCTAGTATCTTCACCAAGTTTGTTTTTCAATTCTTGTTCAATTTGCTTTCACTGAATCATTCAGCACCAAACTTAACTTTCAAGGGCTTCGAAGTCTTCTCCATAGTTGATAGTATCATAGTATATAATTTATTTTGATTCTCTGTGTGTTTTGATGAATAGTTTGGCTTATAGATTCTTTGGTGCATGAATAAAGTTTTTTTTTTTTAAATAAAATAGGCCACGAAATATTCATGCAAAAATGGTTACAATCCAATTATAATGGACGTCATCAGTGATCCTAGTATTGAAACATGGCTTGTTTGCTAGCATTCACCTGACCAATGGGGTGGATCTTAATAAATCCTAGTATTGAAACACTATGGTTTGTTAGAGACAAGGCTTAGATGATGCATATTTGTGTTTCACCTTGTAAAGGTGAATGAATAACAGAGCTCTTGTTTGTTGCTACGTTACATCACATTCTTGGTATAGCCACTAATGGTCAGGTGAATGCAGGCTTCATCACCAAAGTATTATGCTTCGTACTATTTTTCTTTGGGTATCATTGTGCAAATATTTTTTTAACAGAAATTGTTTGCGTATGTTTCTTTGTGAGGTATCAAGCAATCACTTCCAAGACGAGTGGGACATAAAAAGAATGAAAATGATAATAATAATTTTTTTATATGCATTCTTATTATATGTATTATTTATTTTGAAAATACTTTACTGAACACTGTAGAAGATATAAACTCGATAGCACATGAACTTTATAAAAGTTACAGTTTGGGTCTCCAGAGAAAGTGAAGTTTCTGGTCACTTTATTTCAGTGAAAGCATCTTGGCCTTCGCACATTGGAAAGCCATTTGTCTCATGTTAGATACTCTCCCTGGTCTGTACTGCGTGGGGTGGGAGCACAATTGAAAAAAAAAAAATAATAATAATAAATCTGATTTAATATCATAATAAATAAGTATATATTTAATCATTTAACTTTACATGATATTTCATTTAGTCTCTTAATTTTTTAAAGTGATTTTTCAGTCTTTCAATCCTACATTATAAATTTCATGAGCAAAAATTTTTAAATTGAACATTTCAAATATTGATGAAACATTTTAAAATGAGATATTCCCTCTATTTAAAAATATAAAGCATTTTTAAATGAATCTCACCTCCAATAAAGTAGTTATTTATTTTCAAACTAATTCTATCTTTTTATATTTATTCGTATTAAATACCTTATAATAAATATAAAGTAATTATTAAGAGTAATACTTTTGAAAAAAAAGTAATAATTACGCTTCAAAAGACTAAAAATATTTTATATTTTTTAACACTCAACTCTTCAAAAAAATGCCTTACATTTTTTAATAGAGGGAGTATTAATTTTATTTTTAAAATAATAATGATAGAGACAAAAAATTAATATAAATTTTATATAAAGTTAAAGAATTAAAAATATATTTAAAATAAATAAAAATAAATTGTTGTTGCTAAAGTAATTCTTACAATTATCATCATCACTGATATAATTTTTTTTATTTTTAATCAACTATTAAAAAAGAAACATAGATATATCAAAATAATAATAATAAGCATAAATTTAACAAAAAAAAAGTCAACTTTTTAAATAAGAATTTAAAATTGTACTTTTATAATTTCCAGATATTTTATTTTAGCATGAGTAACGAAAAATAAAAGAATATTTTTTATTTTAGATATTTCATATTTTAATTATTTCTACGAGAAATTGCGAGCAGCTTCAACGCTTCTGTATATATAATGGCTTTGTGTTGCTTGGTTTGTTTCGTTCCTTCTCAATCTCACCTCGTACATGTTTTAATCGTTTTTCGATTTGCTGCCTCATTTTATTTACTCTGCACAAACATGAATGAGCACACGAGCAAGAAGAAAAATTATGTTGAAGCCAGGTAAAAAATATTAATTACTATAATGTTCATGAACAAATAATTAATTTTTTTACGTGAGATTTGTATATAATTTTGCATTTCTGTTTTATTTTTTTTAATGGGTAATTCGGTCATTTCGTACACCTTTCGCTGCCCAATCGACTCAGGTCATCAGTCTCCGATGCCTTCGTTGGCTGAATGGACCCTGGTCATGACCCACGGGGTTTGCTAAAGAAGTGGATTTTTTTCTAGCCAGGGGCAAAACAGTAAAAAAGCATTTCACATTATATTTATTTTAAAAATTATTTAAAATTGAGATTTGTAAATTTCGAAGTTTGACTTTTTAAAAAAAAAGAGAGAAGATTTTATATTTTATAAAAAATAATAAAATGAGAATAAAATAGTAAATATAAAAAAACTTTACAAAAATTAACAGCTATCAATTTTAAAGGAAATTCTGATTAATTAAATGTCGTTGAACTAAGTGTTCGTTTGGATACGTCTTTAATCGATTTTATTCTCAAAAAAATCAATTATTTAGTTTATTAGCCAAACACTTGAAAAAGCAAAAAATCGATTTCAACCCTTAAAATCGATTTTTTTCAAAAGCTAATATTTTGAGCTTTTTCAAAAACGCTGATAAAAAAATACTGGAGAAATTACATAAAAAGGTCCAAAAAAATTATAAAAAAGCACAAAATTTTATTTAAAAAAAATAAAACTCCCTTCTCTTCTCTCTTTTTTTTTTAGTAAAATTTAAATTTTAAATCTTTAAAAAAGTTGCTAACATATATTAAGTTAAAATTAATTTTAAAAAAATAATATCCAAACAAATTACATTATAACATAATCAATTATGATTAAAATCTAACACTTAATCAATTATTTTCATAATTTATTATACCCAACTGAAATTCAAACGGACCCTAATATTATCATTTTATGTTTAATTTTACTTAATATGATGTTTTACTTAAATGTGAAGAGCTAACTTATTATCAAGAGTATTTTTGAAAATAAAATCTCATTAATTAGCATTAAAAAACTAAAAATGTCTCATTTTTTATACATAATTTCGGAATATTTTATATTTTTTTAATGGAGAATAACTTCTACCTAAACATGTAATTGAATTATTTATATTGTTTAAAAGAGAGAAAAAATCAACTTACTGTATCATTTTCAAAAATACTTTTTTATATAATTTTTTATTTTCTATTTATTGTAAATTGTGAAAATGTAAAATTAGAAAAAAATAATTCATCATATATTTTTTATGTAAAGTGAGAACCTTGAATTTTTTTTATTTTATTTTTGGCCAACTGAATTTCATTTAAACTAAAGACAAAAGGCACGCAGGCAAAGTTTGAAACATAACAAGAAAACCAAACTGGCCAAAAAAAAAAATAAAGGCAAGAAAACCAAAGCAAAGCAACAAATTAAAACTAGAAGACAAACCAAGTGTCAAAACAAAAACAAAAAAATGCCAATGCCCTCACGTTCCTTAGAAGAGGTAGACCGATGATCAGCAACAACCCAAATCTTTGAGCAATAACAAAGTTAGAGGAAGTGGTGGTGAACCACACCATAAGCTTTGAGCTTCTTTGCAATTGTTTTTGTTTTATTATTTTGAGAATTGATATTTTATAAAATATATTCTGAAAATAAATAATAATAATAATAAGTGTTTTTTTTATTTTTTCTTATTCTCTCCATAAAATAATTTCAAAACACTCAAAAGATTTTTTTTTATTTCTTTGTTCTCCAAAACAATATTTGATTTTTTGTTTTTTAAGATATTTTTTAAAAGCATGTTACCAAATTTTTTTTATTTTTATTTTGAAAAATAAAAAACTGTTCTTCAAATAAGTTGCTAAACTTACTAGATAACCAGATGTATAGTTCTCATCACTGTGGATAAGAGAAAAGGAGACATTGCTTAAAGAGTCCAACATGTTCCAGATGCCCATAGATAGAGAATGACATGTCTAGGGACGATAGAGAATATTTTTGCGAGCACAAAGTTTGTAAGCTTTAGCACAGTCAGGTTCAATAACGTACCTCAATCCATGCCAGGTGAAGGACAAGTCTAGAGTTTTGTTAACAGCACCAAGTTCAACCCTCAATGTTGAATCTGTAACATCCTAAAAATTTAAACTTAATTAATTAAGCTTAATTAGGGTAATTAAGTTTACTGATGTGATGTGTGGCCAGAAAAGTCTAAAAGGTGTGTTTGATTATAATTTCAACTCTAAATGCCAGTCTAAAGTGAAGTCAGGCTATCCGAGCATCAAAAGACAAGAAAAGCTAAAGAAGGAACCTCTGTGTCATATGTTACAGCTTATAGCACATCTGCCATAGTGTATAGAAGGCAACCAACAAAGGATGGGCCTTTCTGTATAATGCATCATGGCTTATGGCCTAAATTTCTACTTAAAACTAGCTTGTGTCTAACGAAGAATCAGGAAAGAGGAGAAGGAGAAAATGAGAGCATGTCACTTACTCTACTAGGGCACAAATTTGGGGGCCATTAGAGACATTTTGGAGCTTCCAATCACTCAAGGT